GCTCGTATATATATATATATATATATATATATATATATATATATGTGTGTGTGTGTGTGTGTGTGTGTGTGTGTGTGTGTGTGAGCGGTTCGCGAGCAAGCACGGTTCAAATGCTACAACAATAATTGTAGAAAGGAAGGTTAGTAAAAAGAATAACAAGCGGAAGGACTACTGCAACAGTTTTTTTATCCGTCTCGGGACTTTAATTCATCTTTACCAAGTTATATCACAGCAACTGTCCTCATCTTTTGATCTCAACCCGAAGGTGGGCTGCACCAACCGAAGCCAGTGCTGAAGCCACCTTCATACCCCTATGTCAGTTCATAGTGTGACAGCTGGGTCACTTCCGTCCTTTCCCAGTGCGTGCATAGAGAGCACCAAAATCCGTTCTTAGAGGTTACAATACAAAATAATATCAACAGTACCACTCTGCCTTCCTCGAGACTACACCTGTAGTGCATAAGCAATAAAGTGTTGGCTATGGGTTACTGATGTAATAGTGATGGTTTTGTTTAGTAGCCGACGGCAATCTCCTACGTGACAATATTTTCCCCCGAAATTTGTGACCCTGATACAAGGAGCTCGCTTGCTAGACGAAAACCTGCCATGGTTTGGGATTGTTACTTGAAGCAACACCCATGTATTCACTGCTACGTAGCCTGAAGATGCTCTCGGTACCGCTAGGGGTAGTTTTAGTAGCTTCCAAGCTCGTCTGCTTCGCTCCATTCTTATTGGAATGTGTTGATTAGCTTATTTGGTCGTTTTATGTTTGAGGTTTGTTCAGTAAAATCTTGGCCAAAATAATATAGCGAATTTTTCACGTGCTTCCTTATTTATATTCTTGATCAAATTCTCATTTAGTCTTGAATTCATTTTTTGTTCTTCATCACAATTATCTCTTTAAGGACGAAAAGGCTGAATTACGTATGCGTATTCAGGCAATCGTGGATGAAGCACAGGACTTTTACTACCAACGTTGTGACTTGTATCAGTCCTACGAAGAAATGTTAAATCGATACAAATCCAGCAAGAATGCCAGTCAGTTTGCTGGTGAACGTAAGCAATTAGAAGCGGAGCATAAGAACTTGAATCACAACTTGGCTCAAATTCAAGTAAAGTTTGGTGATTTGTATGCCGAGGGAGTCGAAAAGGTCAGTGGTCATGAAATCGTATTTTATTATTCCTCCTTTGTTTGGTTGCTTGACACCAGTTTACTTTGAATTGGTTTTGCTTGTCTAATACACGAGTGTTCGAGTGGAAAAGGAAATGTCCAATAGAAACTTGTTTCATTGAGAATAAATTGTAAGTTTGGTCCTCCGTGATGAACTTCCCAACTTGAGACATATGAATTCTCTATCCTCCCCTTGACTATGCTCTCAACATTCTAATCTTCATTCTGCTCATGTATCCAAATGAGTGACCAAAAGACAACAACCAAAACCGGTGCACCAAAGTGCCTGGTTAATGGTTGGAAAAAATGAACTGTAATGAACAGAGATCCATAGTGACCTCACCCTCATTTCTTATCACCAGCATAGCACGACAGGGTTACTGTATCTCTTTCCGTTTATCTTAACTTTGCTATAGATAATGTTATGCAAAAAGCGTTACTTAGCGTAACGAAGGCTGGCGTCGTGATTCTTTCTGAAGAAAAGCCGTAGACTTAGAAGATGCGGATGATATTGCCTTACTCGGTGACAACGCACCGACGATTCGAAACACCCTGAACCATTCGATAATTAATGCTGCTCGTTATGGTATGTCCTTTGCAACTTCAAAGTATTGTTACAAGATTGGAAGGAGCTTGTTCCTGCATTTTCGTTTGATAACTATACTTGGTAAGTAATCGAAAGCGTTGTCTATCGCGGGAGTTTCATAACGGCTGGCGGAGGTCTGGGCGTGATCAAAGCTAAATTAGCATTTGCTAATTGGTGGCGTCTCTGGTGCCATGACACGACATATCCGTTTCGCCGAAAGGGCGTGTGTATTGCGCAACGGTACGCGCCGTGTTGCTCCATGGCTGCAAAACCTGGCCTCTCCAAGCAAATCACGTCCAACGACTATCTCTCTTCGACAACCATTGTCTGCGCAACATCGCCCGCGTATGGTGTGAATACCGATGAGGTCAGATGACGTGTGCTATTGTCGGATAGTCTTCCACTGAGCAAAAGCATTT